AGTGCAGGCAGGCCGGACGAGACAGATTGTCGAGTGGAGAGAATAAAGAAAGAAAGAGCAGGGCACCAGTGGCAAAAAAAGTTGCCTAATTGATTTCTCCAAACTGGGCCCACTGTGTCAGCAGTATCGGCAGTATTATTTTCGAACATTGCCAACTTCGATTTCTCCCTTTGGTCAGCGTCCTTTTTTCTGGCCTTGGCGCTCATGATGTCCCTCTTGTGCCTTTCTTTTCCCATATAATCATCGCCACACAACCCGCGGAAGTGCCAACGAAGGCCTATTTAATCGAATCGGTTTATGCACTCATGGGTGCATTCAGTCAGTATCGGGTGGTTGCGGGTATTTGTGNATGGGTGCATTCAGTCAGTATCGGGTGGTTGCGGGTATTTGTGCCAGTGTCTGTGTGTGTGTGTGCTCCAGTCCTTTGTCTCCGCCGTTGAATGCCGCTTAATTAAAGGTCACACGTATTTCTTTTTTTTCATTTTTTCTTTCACTAGTTTTTGCGGCTCAAACCGCGGTTTCGTTTTTTACTTCTCCTTTCTGCTGCACTGAAAAACACTGCCTCACTCACTCAAACTTCCATCTCATTACTTTATTTTAATTTAACCGATTAAAATCTATTGAAACTGGCGGGGTTGCTGCTGCTGCTGCTGATGCTCGGCTATTCTTTTATTTTAAGCGGCTGTTATTTTTCTCGTTGCGCTCTCTTTGTCTTCTGCCTGCATACATTCATTGTCCTTCTTTTTTTGCTGATGCTGTTACTGATCAGTATGCTGTTTCGTTTTCTTCCTTTTCTCTTTTTGGTTCTCATTGAAACCATGTTTCTAGGCTGAGGGGCAATGGGGCTNGTGTGTGTGTGTGTGTGTGTGTGTGTGTGTGTGTGTGTGTGTGTCTGTGTAAGTGCTCCAGCCCTTTGTCTCCGCCATTGAATGCCGCTTAATTAAAGGTCACACGAATTTCTTTTTTTTCCATTCTTTCTTTCACTGGTTTTTGCGGCTCAAACCGCGGCTTCGCTTCTCCTTTCTGCTGCACTGAAAAACTCACTCAAACTTCCATCTCATTACTTTATTTTAATTTAACCGATTAAAATCTATTGAAACTGGCGGGGTTGCTGCTGCTGCTGCTGATGCTCGGCTATTCTTTTATTTTAAGCGGCTGTTATTTTTCTCGTTGCGCTCTCTTTGTCTTCTGCCTGCATACATTCATTGTCCTTCTTTTTTTGCTGATGCTGTTACTGATCAGTATGCTGTTTCGTTTTCTTCCTTTTCTCTTTTTGGTTCTCATTGAAACCATGTTTCTAGGCTGAGGGGCAATGGGGCTGACTAGAATTTTAGCCCATGACTACTTTTTTGTTAGTCCGGGCATTGCAGTGTAAGTGTTGGCTCCTCTTTGCTTGCTTCCTTGCTTGCTTGGAATTAGTGTGTGCTTTCATTAAACAGATAGATTGTACTCAACTATGAATAAAGATGTTTGCACGTCGAAAAAGAGGGGAGTAAAGAAAAAGGAAGAAGATGAAGGGTGAACAGAACTCGCAGCTGATAACTGTTGGCTTTCGGGCAGCACTTTTTCTTCTTCTTCTTGCCATTTGAGCTTTTCCTCCCCTCGCGCTTTGCTCCTTCTTTTTTGTGCTTCATCGCCGGATCTCTTTTGATCTCGCCACATTGATCGAGTCTATTGTCTCGCAGTTGGGCCAGTTCAGCCTTTCTCTTTTTGTGTGCACATCTACACTACTTTCCGCGTTGGAACATATATCTACACTACTGAAAATGCAAACTACCACTGCCACTGCCAGGGCCCAAGTGCCCCGTCTGCTTTGGCTAGGCGATAGATTAAGATTTACACACACACACACAGCTTTGCTTTTTACCCTGCTCTTTGCGCCATCTTTGCTTTTTGCTTTTGCTTGTTTTTTTCCGATTCCTTTCCGTTACGGGCAAATGCTTTCTCACTACTGCTTCAGTGTGTGTGTCTGTGTGTGTTTTCCCTCAATCTGTTCTTTGAAACAAGTAAATGGAACAGAAAAGTGGTAGTGTTTTCACTACTCGGTGGGCTTGTTCCAGACGGTGGCGACCAGTGTTCGCAGACAAAGTCCTTTCTTTCTTTGCTCCGATTCGCTGCAAAATCATTTATATTGATTTTATTGTATGTGTTTGTGATGGTGAGTGAGTGACTGACTGTAATGTAATGCAATGCACTGTGAGCACTGGCAAGACTTGACACTGATTCAAAAATGAATGTCTATTCGAATTGTCCTTTCATTGTGGCAGAAGAAAGCCCTGGTCATTTGCCTTGAAACCAATGCGGATTATTGTACATTTATCTCCATTTTCCCTCCTCGTGTTTTGAGAGTTGTTTCTTTTTTTGTCCTTCAAAAACGTGACTTTGATAATGAGTTTGCCCCGTCGTTTGAGGTTGGGTCTCATTTTCCTTATCTAAAGACCATTTCTCTTGCAGAATGCCATTTTTTCTGCCTCATTATGTTTTTGAGCGGTTCAGTAATGTTTGCAAAATAAAAACAGAATCTTTTGAATCAGAATGCTTTCTAAACTCTAAAAAAATCGTTTTTAACAGAAAAAGTAAAAAGCTAATTAATTGTTAGAAAAACTAGTTTTACTGGTACAAAAGAGTGGGTGTTTTGTGGGGAAAGAATCATCTTGTGAAAATAAGAATAATCGTGATTTTTTACTAAATTGATTTGCTGAAAGTTTTTAAATTCTTTAACACAAAAAAGAAAAAGAGCATGGTTTTTGGGCGTTGACACCGAAACGACGGCATCAGCGAGAAATCAATTTGAACTGAGCTTGCACTCTTGGTGGCCACTTTTTGGGTACACTAAAAGACTGTGAGACAGTGAGAATTGATTTTAAATTAATCCACAACTTTTTTGTCGTAGAATAAGGAAGTGAGAAATTAAAACTTGCAAATATGAAGACAGCGAATGAGAGAGAGAGAGAGAGTAAGGAGAAGGAGAAGAAAGATGAAATTTGAAATTGAATTAAAACTTACCAACTCGACGTGTGTGGTCTGCCGCGTCCAGGCGAAAAGCGACGACCTCTGCAGAATTCTATTTCAGCCCCCTCACTGTCTGTCGCTAAATCTCAGCTTCAGTTCATTTTACGCCGTCTCGAATCGCAGACGCCGTTTTTGCTGATGCAATTCATTTGGTCAAGTTTGAGTTTTCAGTTTTCATTCAGTTCATTATTGCTTGACCGTTTCAATTTTTTTTCAGTTTGTTTTTCTTCATTTATTTATCTGTCCACTGGGTCCAACGGTTCTTGCTGCGCTTCTTCCCTAGATTTCTATTTATTTTTTCTCAGTGTTTGTATTTCAAACAAGCAACGTTTTGGCTATTCGATATATTGATTTTCAGAAATTATCGACTGATTATTTTTTGCAAAGCATAAAAATAGTGTGGTGTTTTTCTTTTCTTTTTTCCGCTGAAATTCAGCCTGCAAAGAGTGAGACTGTAAATTGCAATTGAAAAAATTGAAATGGAGAAAATCAATTATTGGCTACTGTTTCGGCGCTGACTGTGAGGAAGAAATGGCGGATAAAAAGGAGTGAAGCAGACAGTGGGCGACATCGATTGACTACTGGGCAGTTGTCTGATTTTGTTGAAAATAAGAACAAAATGGCAAACGGGAGACGTGATTTGATATCACGCTAGATTGAGATTCAGACAATAAAGTCGGGGAAAAGGTGCAATTCTATTTTTAAAGAGACATGTAGAGTGCTAATTGTCTGGCAAAATGTTTGTAATAGTGCCTAACAAAACCATGACACACAGTCAAACTAAAATCAGCTAATAACATTTTTTTGTTTTTTTCTTTAGCTGACAAAAACAGCAACCAAAACAGACAATCATGGCGAGCAGCAGACTACCAAAGACGCCCACCTCAAAGACCTCCTCCTCCTTCTGCAGTACAGAGAGTCTGACCACCTCTGACACGGCCTCCTCGGTGGACGTGGGCGCCAAGGCGATCCTCGGCGCAAAAGTTGCAACCTCCATTCCGAAGCCCAGTCTCTCGCTGAAGCTCTCCTCCGACTCGGTGGACGACTTCTCCGTCAATGAGAAGGTCTGGGTGAACGGGTCACGGGCGGGCATCATTCGCTTCATTGGCGACACCAAATTTTCGCCGGGCAAGTGGATTGGCGTCCAGTTGACCTCGCCGGATGGCAAANTCCGTCAATGAGAAGGTCTGGGTGAACGGGTCACGGGCGGGCATCATTCGATTCATTGGCGACACCAAATTTTCGCCAGGCAAGTGGATTGGCGTCCAGTTGACCTCGCCGGATGGCAAGAATGACGGCACCGTCGCCGGCGTCCGCTACTTTGCCTGCCCAAATAACTGCGGCGTCTTTGTGAAGCCGCAGCGGCTGACGAAGGCGCCCATGCCGGAGTCGGTTTTCCAGAAGTAAGTGCTCTCTTTCTTTCCCTTTCTTTTTCCAGCTCGTCTGATTGAGCCAAATTAAATTCGATCCTAACTGCTCTCTTTCACTTTCCATTGCCCACCACTGCCACCCCATCCTATCCCCACTTTCTCCCCATCACTGCCTAATTAAAATTCCGCACCAGACGTCTGGCGTCGCCTTCTGCTGCACGCGCCGACAAGGATTTGCCTGGCACTTTGGCTAATCTGGGCACCGATTCTGATTCCGCCTCTGATATTGCCAGTCATGTGTCCACCAGTGGGCTGCTAAAGAACAGTCCTTTTCTGAGTGGCAGCAATGGGCCGTCCAGCCTGTGCTCGGTTAGCGGCACCGGCGGCGGTCGAATTGGAAGCTTCAAGATTGGCGACCGAGTGCTGGTGAACGCCTCCTCGGGCACCAAGCTGGGCACGCTCATGTTTCTAGGTGAGTGTCTTTTTTCCCTTGTGTGTGCTATTTTTAAACATTTTTTTGTTTTTTAGGCGAAACCGACTTTGCCGCCGGCCACTGGGCGGGCATCGAGCTGGACGACCCGGTGGGCAAGAACGACGGCTCCGTCGCGGGGAAGCGCTATTTTGACTGCAAGTCCAAGTACGGGCTCTTTGCGCCGCTGCACAAAATCTCCGCCGCGCCGCTGTCGGCGTTGAGCAAGCCGAAACGACCTGGTGGCTCTAGCGTTATTGGTGGTGGTTTATCTTCTCGGGCCTCTTCAAGAACGTCCATCAGCAGGGGGCTGACCGGAGGAAGTAGTCGAATGAGCCGCGCCGACAGCAAGGAGTCCGTCAGCTCAGTGGCCAGCTCGGTGGTCTCCTCTGCCACCAATCGCTCCTCTCGCGTCCGTTTGGGCATCACTTCGCTCAAGTCGCCGGTAGGCGGAACAGTCGGCAGTTCTGGGCACTCCAGCCTAGGAGGAATTTCAGGAGTTTCCTCCTCGCACAGTCCGGCCACTAAGAAGACAATGGAAGGGACGAATGCGGCCATCCTCGACGCGCTGAAGGAAAAGGACGAGACGATGACGGCGATGCGACGGGAGCAGGATCTGGAGCGGGCAGAGTTCAGTCGGGTGGCAATGCACGCCGATGAGCTGGAGGAACGGGTAGCGGCGCTGTCGGCGGAAAATGCCCGTATCGCCGCCGAGGCTGATGAGGAGATGGCCGAGTTGAAGCGGCTGAACAACGAGTACGAGGAGGTGCAGCTGAAGCTGAGCAATCAGCTGGAGGAAGAGAGGAAGAAGGTGGAGGACCTGTCCTTCCGCTTTGACGAGGAGTCCC